GGATCGGCCCCAAGGAGGAGTTTTTCCACTGTTCGAAATGCAATTTGTGCTTAAGCTTGAGCCTGCAAGGGAAGCACAAGGTAAGATCCCATCAGTTAACGCTGTCCGAGGGAAGAATAAAGCACCGTGAAGTTGACGGCTCGGACCTCGGCTCCATCCCTGACCCCGCAGGTTCTCTGACAGGAACCCAGAGCAGTTCTGGGCTCCCCAGTTCCAGAGAGACAGGGACCGACTGGAGAGAGTCCAAGGGAGAGCTACGAGGGTGATCAAGGGAGTTGAACATCTCTCTTATGAGGAGAAACTGAAAAAAATGGGGCTGTTCAGCCTGGAAAGGAGACGGCTGAGAGGGGACCTTATTAACCTGTACAAATATCTGAGGGATGGGGGTCGAGGGGAAGGAGACAATCTCTTCTCAGTGGTGCCCAGCAATAGAACAAGGAGTAATGGGTACAAGGTAGAACCTGGAAGTTACATCTCAACATGAGGAAAACTTCTTTACTATGAGGATGACAGAGCCCTGGCTCAGGCTGCCCAGAGAGGGTGTGGAGTCTCCTTCTCTGGAGACTTTCCAACCCACCTGGACGCGTTCCTGTGTGACCTGCTCTGGGTGACCCTGCTCTGGCAGAGGGGTTGGACTTAGATGATCTCTAGAGGTCCCTTCCAACACCCAACATTCTATGATTCTATAGGAAATAAAAATAGAATCACAGGCAAGACCTTATCACTCTCAACAGCTCCCTAAGAGGAGGCTGTAGCGAGGTGGGGTTGATCTCCCGCATGACAAGTGACAGGACAAAAGGAAATGGCCTCAGGTGATGCTGGGGAAGGTTTAGTTTGGACATCAGCAGAAAATTTCTCACTGAAGGGTTGTTAAGCATTGGAACAGGCTGCCCAAGAAAGCGGTGGAGTCACCATCCCTGGAGGTATTTAAAAGATGCGGGGCTTAGTGACCTGGTTTCGTGGTGGTTTTGGCCCTGCTGGGTTAATGGTTGGACTCGACATCATGTCATATTTTATGATTCCATGGTAGGGTGTCTTGCTCTCCTCTTTTAAAAGGAGCTGTTGATGGCAGATGTGCCAGTGGCTGGGTTTCAGCTCCTGTTCCTGCTGCAGTGTAGGAGAAACCAGGCTCTGTGCTGCTGCTGCAGGAGCTCTGGGAGCCCTCGTGTATAAATTTAAGCTGTTTATTTCTTAATATGCTAAGCCACCCGTTAGCTCTTAGAACTCCAAACGTCAATGCAAACAGTTAGGCTTTTATACGTCTTTACTTACTGTTTTAAAGGAATTTTAGAATTTAGGAAAATGCAGTATCCGTGCAATAGAATAACTTCTTTTTTTTTTTTCCTTTTCTTTTTTTTGCGAAGTGTATTGAAAATGTCTCCAGGCAGGACTGTCCAATATGTTTGGAGGTGAGCCGTTGCTTTTCCTTTCTCGGATTTGTGTGTGGCTCTATTGCTGACTGCGCTTGAACTAATTTTATGGTCTTCTGTGCGGCGCTTGCCTTAAAACAGGATATTCACACGTCTCGCATCGAAGCTCACGTTCTGCCGTGCGGTCACCTACTTCACAGGTAAAGCATTGCAGATGCTTGAGAAAGTGGAATTTCTAATGCTTCTGCAGTAAAGTTTTTGGCTGAGGCACCTGGGTACTGTATATTCTAATTTTTTCCCATGCTGAGTTTCCTTCTGTTGCTCCTTAAATTGCAAGAATCCTATAGAGAAGTCCCTCCCTGGTGCAGAAAGCAGTTGCCTAAGTACCTGGTATATTTTACTGGGAACTTGTCAGCTATTTTTTAACTTCTGGGTAGGGGATAGCTGTGTGCCTTTTCCCTTTGCTCAGTCCCAAAGTGTCCCTGGATAGTAACTGCATTCTTCTTACTGAACTTCTGGTTGTGTTTTCTTTTCAGAACGTGTTACAAGGACATGCTAAAGGAGTAAGTATTTCTAAAAAGCAGATTACTTCAAAAGGCCAACATTGTGATGCCAATCCTGTACCAAATAACTTACAGCCAACTGCTGAAGGCGTAAGGGGCTTTTAATTTCCAGTTCTGTTTGCAAGAACTTCTTGATTCATGGTGTTTTGCTTTGACTGATGCGATAAGATGCTTGTCCTTTCGGATGGCCCCGCTCCTGTCTTCTGATTTTGACTTTTTTCTTTTTCCCCCCCCTCTTTCTGCCAGAGGTTACAGGTGTCCCTTGTGCATGCACTCGGCTTTTGATATGACGAGGTACTGGCGTCAGCTGGATGACGAAGTCGCACAGACTCCCATGCCCACGGAGTATCAGAACATGATGGTGGAGGTAAGAGAAGAGACTTGAGCTGGTGTCTCTCCTTTTGGCAGAGCCGTGCCTTCGTGTTTCTGGCAGCAGAGGGCACTAGGAACTTGTTCTGGATCAGAAGTCAACCTCTGGTAGTTAGGAAATGATGAAGAAATACCATATGTACGCCTACGGTATTTATCTATGCACAAAAAAAGCACCCCCAGCCTGCACTCCAAAAAAAAATCATGCTTTTTCCAGTAGCTTTAGGTGTTCTCTTAGCAAAAAGCATCAAGGTTTGTTTTTTTCGAGCTTCATATTCCAGACTAAATGAGGTGGGCTCTCCTAAAACCAACAGAAGCAGCTGAAGTACATCTCTCCCTAACGTAGGCAAGGAATCTCCCTGCCAGACTAAGTTTTCTGTGATTATACGCTATGATCTGAGGAGTTACAAAGGGAAGAATTAAACCAGTCCTGCTGTGTTGAAAAGAAAGATATTTTTTGCTTTTTCCACTGTTGGCAAACTGATTCTGTGGTCGTAGTATGTTGTCGAGTGTCCTGCTGGTGCTAACGCCTCTTTTTTTTTCTTTTTCTGTGTGTGTAGATCCTTTGCAACGACTGCAACGCCCGCTCTACAGTGCAGTTCCATCTCCTGGGCATGAAGTGCAAAAACTGTGAATCGTACAACACCGCTCAGGATGGACGGTGCCGCGTGTCTGTCGAGGAGCAGTGACCAGGAAATGCACCACGTTCAGCCAGGCGATGACGATTCTGCCGTGGCAGAGACCTACTTATTTGAAAAAAAAAACAAAACACAACAAAAAAACAACCCGCTTGTCAGTAAAAATTTATTCCAAGTTGTTGGGACACAGCGCAGTTGGGCTCTTCAGGAAATTCCCTGTCGAGCCGGGTGATGCCCGATGAAAGTTTGTTTCGAGAGAGAACAGCACCCTTTAAAAAAGCCATTTAACGCGTTGTCGGAGAAGAAAAAGCCCAGAAGAAAAACTGATGAGACGCAAAATGAGGAACGACGAGCAGCTGATGCAGCAGAAGATGTTTTGGGGCAGCTGAAGGTTGTGAGCGTACCAGGAGGTGGAGGTACAGCTCTTCTGGATGCAGCTGCCGGGCGAAACCGGTCGCTTTGGAAAGCGGCCTTTTTACATAAAGCTGACACCTGCAAAGTTTTCTGCGAGTACCTTTTGTCCCTTTTTGAAATGACATGTTTGTTCCAGGGCCTCGGAGCCGTCGGTGCGAGTGGCCGGAGAGGGGGAGCTCGCAGAAACCGCGTCCCTCAGCTCGATTGTTGACGCGCGCGTACGCGATCCCCTTCGAAACCGGGCTGGCCCTGCCGACAAGCGGCCTAAAAATCACGCCGCTGATGTTTTGCACTCCAGTAGTGCAGGGACCAATTTTTCTGGGGTTTCAGGGTTTTGTAATTTTTGATTTTGCTGCCGGGAGAGAACGGAGGGTGGAGGAAAGGCTTTTGAAAACCAAAAAAAAAAAAACCACAAACCTTCCTACCCTTCTTCTCCGTGTGATATCCTGCCCAAGGTGTTTTGCAGTCTTTAAGTATTACAGAAAGCTTCATGCAAATAGTTTCCCAGAATGAAATAAATAAAATTTTAAAAGCCCAGTTACTCTTCACCGTACAACTATCTGGTTCTAACTTGTTCTGCTGTAAAAGAACAGTTTTTCTTCGTAATCTGACAGCCCCCCTCGGTCTGTGAGATATTGGGGCTCGGAGGGGAGCGACACACTAGGTTGCCTTTTTTTTTTTTTCCTGAAGCGCTTTCCTCGCCGCTATAAATAAATGTAAAACAACGTCTCTATTAAAACAAATGACGGCACGTGTGCTGTGCTCTCCTTTTACGCACATACGCGCTGGAAATTCCTGGCTGAGTTCAGAGGATGATTCAACGCCAAAAAATAAGGGTTAGATGCCTGGATGGGTGACCCGTGCCTCTCCGTGGTTCCAGTAGTGGTCTTCACAGCCACGATATTTCCACGTTTTCTGTGGTACAAGGGTTTTTCTTGACACTGTCCCCAGTCTGGGAATCCCAGAGTGGGATGAGGTGGGGCAAGTCCAGGGTGGTGCCACCAGGAGCAAGACATGGGGGGCTTTCCCTGCCATCTGCAGGTGTCCTCGGGAAGGGGATGGGGCCAGACCCCCCTTAGGTGTCCTTAACTCCGCTGGTTTCACAGAAGCAATGAATTAATGCCACCAGAGGGGAGACCTTGTTGAAAGTGAAGCCAGAGGGGCTTGCGTCACCCAAAAGACCTCTGTGAGGAGCAGAGCAACTGTCCCAACCCAATTTCTTCAGGTCCCAGCTGTGTTTGTGCTCTCACACCCCAAAACTGGCCCTGCCATCCTGCTCCTTTCCACTTGGGGTCCAGGGGAGGCGATCGGCTGTAGCTACGTACGGGGTGGAGCGGACGCTTTGGGTTGAGGCTGGCTTTCTCCAACTTTTGTGGCAATTTAGAGGAGGCCGTGGCTCGGAGTTCAGCCAGCGCCCCGGGGCTGTGCTGGGCAGGGAGTAGGGTATTTGCTGAGGGAATAGAAAGTTTCCTTCTCTGGTTGTGCTGATTTATCCCCCTGGTTGTGGGGCTGCTTCTGGGCATAGATGGTTTGTGGAGCTGTTGAGGGGGTGTTAGAGGCTGCGCTGGGCACCAAGTGGAGGTTTTCCCCTGCAGTCTGCTGTTAAAATGAGGGAAACTCGAGGGAACTGTGTTGTCTTCAGAAGTTCAAGTGCAGAAGGAGCGTGGCTGAGGTCCTTGCTGTCTCCTCCATCCTTACATGAGGGTGGACATCCCAGGGAAGGGGCTGGTTTGACTACGGGCCAGCAGGTCCCTACTGCCACGGGCGAACTGAGTGAAGTATTTCCATGGTGCTGACATCTTTGCTTGACTTTAAGCTCTTGTAGGTGCTAAGAAGGACTCTCCTCTTGATTCCGGATGATGCTCTTGGTTCTTCTGCTGAAGCTGCTGGCAAGACCCCCCACTGCCTTGGAGCACCTTCCGAAGGTGTGCTGTCACCTGGGAACTTCACCACCTTCCCTAGATGGAGACCTGCTCCCAGGTAAGCCTTGAGGAGTTGTCATCTCAGAGCTTTGTGCTCTTGTAGGGAGATGCTGAGCTCGGGCGACGGAGCCTGTTTCTGAACGGGTTCAAAACAAATCACGTCAAGTGATATTTTTGAGGTGGTTCTGAGGAATGTTGTGTTTTTTCTGTATTAAAGCTGCGTCTGGTGGATTCTGAAACTGGGCCAGGCTGTCTCTGCAGTGTCCCCACCTAGGTGACGAGCGCTCTGGGTTGATGGCAGAGGTGATAAAACACTCGTTTGGGTTCCTCACAAGCACGTCTCGCGTGACGCAGGGCTCTGGTAGGTCCTCCCTGTGCCCCCTGTGTGGATGGGGCTCCCTGGCACTCGGTAGCCGTTGCGCTCAGCAGCAGCCATCCTTTCCAGAGCGTTCTGCTCATCACCAGCAAATTGTTTCCTGTTGTGGTGTGTATTTCATTGTGGGTTTTGGTTTGCTTTTTTTTAAATTCTCGGCAAAGTGCTGTTGGTTCATTTAGCTGATAAACAGTATCGTGGTGCAGCTGAGAAGCCGACATTGGCAACCTCAGGAGCCAAGTAGCCTCTGACTGTGTTGCTAACTGTAAAATCATGCTGGTCAAGTCCACAACCAAGCAGATTTGATGCTAATTTTATCACAGCTGGAAACATTCCTATTTAGGTTCAAACCACAAGAGGAGGCTGAAAGAAAACCTTTCGTTGAGCTGAGCTTTGGCAGAGCAGCTGGACTATTTCTTTTCCTTTTGCATTGAGAAGGAAAATGATCTTGGGGGGGCTGAGATCCATCTGATTCTGATCCTTTGCTCTCCTGTGTGTGCAAAGTGCGTGGAGCAGGGGGGCCTGGGGAGGTCCCCAGAAATCGAGCCTTGCTTGCTGGCACTGGGTGAAACGAGGAGCAGATGGGATTATCGTGGGAAAAAATGTAGTGTTCCAGCAGGCATGAGGGCCGCAGGCACGAACAAGGTCAGCGGAGCTATTAATAAAACCGGGGCCTGCCCAAGTATGCAAAACTCGGGAGAGGGACTCGGTAAGCCAACGAGGGGAGCGATGCCAGACCCGGGGCGCTTGGCCGAGCCCTCCAGCCCTGCAGGGGAGGTGCAAGGCGATGGTTCAGGAGTGGTGGGGAAAAGGGATCCCCACTTTGGGGCTGGATTAAAAAACACACACTCTGGTGTGGTTTTGAGCTCGCTGGCAGAAAGCAGATAAGCGTGGTCTGACAGCCCTGGGCCTAATAACATCATTTTGGTGGCGCTGGCTGAGAAGCTCAATCTTCAACTCTCCTGAAGCGGCAGCAATGTGTGTTTCCGACCTGTGAGGGCACAGGGAAGGGCAGGGACCACCCTGCTGCTGGCCTCCACCTCCGGGGTGGGAGAAGACCCTTCCCTAAAGCTGTGCAGGCTGAAAAACCCTGCAGAAGAGTCCCGGCTTCCCCAGGGCTGAGGCGGATGCCTTGCCCCTGCCCGGCTGCAGAGAAACCATCTGGGTTTTTTTCTTTCCAACGGGAAGGAATGCAGTTAGGGAAAGGCTCCTCATGCTGTGCTATTTATAACTCGGAGGGCGAGCAGAGCATCTGTCCCTCCCAAGCGAGGCTGGCTTAGCCCAGGGATGTGTCGTGACCACCACGCTGGAACAAGGTGATTTCCTTGCTGCTTCTCCTTGATGGAGAATAATGAGTTATCTGAAGACTTGTGAGAAACGACTAACTTTTTCTTTTTCCTAGTTGTGCTGGCAAGTAGCTTTTTTTTTTTTTTTGAAAAATAGCGTAAGAGATCAAACACCCGGAGCTCCTGGCTCTTTGTAGGTGCTGACAAGTGGCTTTTTGGGGAGAGGTGGAAGGATGGCAAGTGGGCTCCAGCGTGCCCTTGGGAGGTTGCTCACCCAAGGGTGAAGTCTTGCCAGAGAGTGATGGCTCTTGACTCAAGCAGAGCTGCTGCCTTCACCCAGCCCTGGGCGTGCTGGGGCAGTGGGGAGCAGAATACCTGCCCGTTTAGGTCTTAGCTTGCATTGACTGATAAATAAAACAAAGGGCTAAAACCAAAAATGCACAAATCTCTCCGCAGCATCCAGGAAGACAAGCTGGATGGGCTGAAGGCTGAGTGGTTTTGAGAGCCACAAGAGCTGAACAAGAGGGCTTCCCATCACCTAGGAGGTAATTAGTTCATCTAATGAGTGCTATTGCTCCTGGAGGCTGCGACAAAGAGCCCTCTCTTCAGATAAGTCGTTAACACTCTGTTAATTCCACCAAGAGTCTAAGATGATGCTTGGAAACGTGTTGGTGAGGTATTTGCATATTCACAAAACAAAAGCACGATTAGGGGAGAGGCCAGAGGGAGCCAAAATGGTGATGGGTGCAGGAGGTGGGAAGGAAAGTCCTGTGGTGGATCCGGCGTTGCTGGGTTAACGGTTGGACGCGATGATCTAAGGTCTTTTCAGACCTTTAAGATTCTTTTCAGACCTTGAAGATTCTATGATCTATGAAAATTCTATGATCGTATTGATCATAGACCTGGAGAGGGTTCACACCGCCCGCAACGGCCCTGCCAGACTCCCTCCCAGGGAGGCGAATGGGATGTTCTGCACAGAGCTATGTCAACTATTTTTTCTATATAAATAAAATATCTCTTGAGATGAGATTGAGCCAAAGTCGGCAGCGGGGGGGA